TCATGAATCCTTCACTGTTCAAATACATGTCAAGCCAAAGTTTTGAATATAAAGTTCTCCGGATGTCGTCTTCAGCTTCATTCCCAATTGGAATCTTTCCTAAAAATATGGAGAGTTTAGGAAAGAACAGAAAACCGAGACCGTTAAATCCTGTCCGTACACTTTCAACACCTTTAATTCGATGGAAGAGGAACAAGATTTTCTGTATGAAACCCTAAGTCCGTTCGGCACCAGTTCTGCTAACACACCAACACCGTCGCAGCTGTCAGATGATGCCGAACCGTTCGTTATTTTTCGAAGCGAGATTTCGCTCTTCTCCGTTCAATTTCCTTCTCTGGCAACATTAGCACCAGATTACTTCTCTCTCAATTTAAATCCTTCAATCCAATGCTGCGATACGAAGAATTTCTCATGGAACAGGAACTCAAGGTCACTAGTCATCGTTCTCAACTAAAAATGAGTCTTCTCTCCTCTTTGCTGAATTAACACACACAAAAAAAAAAAGGGTTTCCATCTTTACATGAGAAATTCCCACTGGAGCGCTTCAATGGATAGCCGAAATGTCATCGTTTGTGACAATGGCACTGGGGTAATTATTCTCATCTTCAACAATTTCCCTCAATTGATCGATCCACCCATATGTTAAGTGTGGTTTCGCGGGTGAGAATTTCCCCACATCAGCATTCCCGTGCGTAGTCGGAAGGCCAATGCTATAGCTCCATAGAGATAAGGCTTCAAGTCGGTGGCGGTGGCGTGCAATTTTAATCCTTCAATCTTGAAGCAGATTTTTTGCGTTGAATAGTCAAGATGAACTTTCCAAAGGAATAGTTTGATTATGGGCTTGAATTGAATTGGGCCTAATTATTATTCTTCTCTCGTGTTCTAAACTTGAAATTGCGCTTGCGCACTATTTGCAACTTGGGCTAGAGGAGTTGGAAAAACTGTTTTTTGGGATTTTGCTGTTGGTTGAAGGGAATTGGGCCTAGGATTTATTTTCCTTGGGTCCTTTCAATGGGTCTTGCTTGGGGTACATAATTATACACATAGAGGATGACATAACACTCACATGGGGTGGGGCCCACCATTCTGGTGGGGTCCACCACATGTGAGTGTTATGTCAAGCTCTATGTACAATAATTATGTACAACAAGAATTACTCGGCGAGAAATAGACTCATGTGAGTGTTATGTCAAGCTCTATGTACAATAATTATGTACAACAAGAATTATTCCCTTTCAATATTTACATGGATTGCACTGGTTATTTTTTATGGGCCATTGCGAATTGTACCTCTCTTCTACACTAGAGATTTGGTTGGCCAGATTTATTAAGTTTGGGCCATCTCCTATGGTGATTATGGACGATAATGGAAGACAGTTTGATTTCTTGGTTGTGCAAATTATTCCAAAGATGGTTCTTTCTGGAGAATTTCGAAAGGGATAGAATAATGCTAAGCCCGAGTCATTCCCATGGCATACAAGTCAACGTCGACAACAACCTATACAAAGGGGGTAATCTTTTTAATTTTGGTTTACACTATGTGTTTCTTTGACTCTCAATAGCTACTATCGGTATTTTCTACTTTTCAAAAAGAAAAGTCATAAATTAACACATTTAGTTATTACACTTAACAAGCGCCAATGATAGCAAAATCAGCGTGTCCTTTTGAATTAGAATAATAGGAATAAGTTCACATGAGCTTTTTGCCATAAGTGGTAATGGACTTCTCCAAATTCTTCAATTTGTTGTATATTGAATAATGACATTAAGCCCTTGTTTGTCCACCATTATATCTCATTACATTACATTAAATTTTTCTCTCTTCATCTCAACCATACATTCATCAAATAAAATAATAATACACACAAATCTAAAACTTGTCAACCACACATTTCCCATCAATCACTATTCTAAAAATTTTCAACCCCCTAAAAATCTACAATAATGGGGGCCAAACAGAGGCTAAATCTGCAATTAAATTTAGAAGTCAATTGGAGTAGGAAGTTAACTTAAGTTTGGCTGTATTGCTGATGAGCTAATGTAGAAACTTCAACATATTGTGTTCTAGAAAGATTAATTGAGCACTTTATGTGATCTAATTGCTCACATGAATTTAGATATGTATGCTATCAAAATATGTTCTCCATGCTGTTAATTTTAGGGACATGAGGTACCCCGAAGAAACTTATGAGTGTCACATTTTTACGTGATTTGCTTGGTAATTAAACAACAAATCTTAATGTGATGCACTGAAAATCAATTGAGTTCCATGGTTATTGAGCGAGTTCCATGGTTATTGAGCTTTAATTGAACCAAATAGAATATGTTTTAATACTACATACTTGGGAGTCCACCGATGTGAAAATCGGCATATATTATTTTCTTTAATTTCCTTGTTGCCTTAAAAATATTACCAGGATTTGGAGCATGGTTTGAGCATGATATAGTGAGATGGAAAATATGGAGTATGTTGTTCAAGACAAGCTCTAAGACCTCGCATTATTGAAGGCGAGCATTAACTCGTGGATTTCTCATTATTAGAAGTAAAGTCTTGCCCCATGCAAGCACATAAGTCTTGCCCCACGCAAGCACGCCAAAAAGCCCTGTCACGAGCACGCCCACAAAAGCCCTGTCACGAGCACGCCCACAAAAAGCCATGTCACGAGCACGCCCACAAAAAGCCATGTCACGAGCAGGCCCACAAAAGCCCTATCACGAGCAGGCCTAAAAAAGCTCTGTCACGAGCAGGCCCAAAAAAAGCCATGTCACGAGCAGGCCACAAAAGCCCTGTCACGTGCAGGCACCTAAGCCCTGTCACGAGTAGGCACCTAAAGCCCTGTCACGACCAGGCACCTAAAATCCTGTCACGACCAGGACCAAAAAAGCCCTGTCACGACCAGGCCCAAAACAAGCCCTGTCACGACCAGGCCAAAAAACGAGCAGGCCTAAAAAGCCTTGCCACAACCAGGCCCAAAAAAGCCATGTCACGAGCAGGCCCAAAAAGCCCTGTCACGAGCAGACCCAAAAAAGCCATGTCACGAGCAGGCCCACAAAATCCATGTTACGAGTAGGCCCAAAAAAACCCTATCACGAGCAGGCCCAAAAAGCTCTGTCACGAGCAGGCCAACAAAAGCCCTGTCACGAGCAGGCCCAAAAAGGCCTTGTCACGAGCAGGCCAACAAAAGCCCTCCAAAATAGCCCTATCACGTGCAGGCCCACAAAAGCCCTGTCACGAGCAAGCCCAAAATAGCCCTATCACGTGCAGGCCCACAAAAGCCCTGTCACGAGCAGGTCACCTAAAGCCCTGTAACCAGCAAGCCCAAAAAGGCCCTATCACGAGCAGGCACTATCAAAAGCCTTGTCGCGAGCAAACACTATCAAAAGCTCTGTCACAAGCATGCACCAAAAAGCTTTGCCCCGCGCAAACACCTCAAGCCTTGCCCTGCACAAGCACCATCAAACTTTGCCCTATGCAAGCACTTCAATATTGTACCCCAAGCAATAGCCCATTCCTTTCACATTTTAAAGATGGTCGAGGTACAACCCCCTTCATTTCAAATTTTAAACAATGTTGGGGTCTAGGACTTCCTTTCAAAACTTTTAACAAACCTCGAGATCGAGCTCATTCCTTAGGGTCAAAACTTCTACCCTAGATCTGTGTACTCAGGGGCCTATCAACCCGACTTGAGCATGCCTAATTTTGAACTCAATATACTTGTGCATCTCATGCCAGAAACTCCCACATTGCGCACGAACTCCTGACATGGATGCACGGGGGCCTATGATGAGTACAAATTCTGTGTGACCCGACTAGGACTCCTACTCCTAGAAGGTCTCTATTTCAACTATACTCATACATTATAAGTGCACTTGCAATTATAGTACAAGTCAGATACGCCTCTCAAGTAGAACTCTTACGGACAAGTAAATTCAGCTAATTCAGTCATATTAGGAGTGTACTGCCCACTCCTAAGAGGATTATACTACCTACCCCTTTAAATATGGACCCTCAACTCATTATTCAGGTATGATTTACATTCAAATTACATGGACCCTCTCGCTAACTTAAGCATCGGAGGGGTGACAAGGTCACACCTCGTTGTCTTTGTTTCAGGTACCGAAAGATCTTGTTCGTGATCAATCTCATTTCCCTCTCGCTAACTTAAGTATCGGAGGGGTGATGAGGTCACACTTCGTTGCCTTTGTTTCAGGTACCGGAAGATCTTGTTCGTGATCAATCTCGGTAATCAAGCTCGAGAATCAACATATGACGATTTTTGACATCACGAGAGAGAAACCAATTCATCCAGTAAATCTTTCGATTTTCCATAGTAGGTGGTAACAAATTGTTGTTCTTGATGGAGGTTAGTTAAATCACGTTTCAGTCGGAAATTTTTTGTTCAGTTGCTCTGCTAGAATCGGGTTTCAAGTTCAACCCAAAGGGCATTGAGTGTTTGCACAGTATAGAAGGCTTCTAGTGAGGGACTGATCGACGCCAAGCCGGATAGCTCTATTGAGGAGAGCATCAACAAGGAATTGGTTCGGTGGATCGAACGAGCGTATGAAGTAAGGAGAGGCATCTACGAGGGATTTTGCAGCATTAGGGATGGTGGCCAGATCAGCCATGGCAGGAGTATGACTTCTTTAACCTATTGCTCTGATACCATGTTAGATTTGGTATATGAATGAATTAATTCTCATTAATTTGAACAAAGATACAACAGTCTTTTATAATGCAAGGCTATGAGTCGTGTATGGTAGGAGGCACTAATCTAGAAAAGAAATTATAACAGCAAAATTAACAATGAAAAGATATCAGTAAATGGTAATTTCCTTCAATACATATTCCGCACCATTTACATAATGATCAAACAGTGATGCAGCGACACAGTGCGACCAACAGAATCAGGTGATCTGGTCCATTCCATAATTATAAGTTCATTCCATCTAGCCCAAAATTGACCTTTGTTTCCCTAGAAAAAGTTTCCAAATTTGTTTTCCTAGCAAACGAGCGAGGATCTCAAGGCTGTGGCGCTTGGAATTTGTGTGCACGATGCCCACCTGATCACTGATTCACTTGCTATAAAATCAAGTTGATTAAGCTCACCAAGACTGATAGTGTTATTCCTTTTGTTCTGCATGCTTGAACTCTTTGAACCACTTGTTCCGACTGTCCGATGAAATTCGGTTCGGTGCTCGACTTCACTCGACTTGTACTGAATTTGCTCTGCAGGATCTGGCAACACGAATAGCTGTCCTATACTTGAATCTGCATGGCCATAATAAATGCTTGTCAATCAAGTTTTTTACAAAATAAATTGCAATGCTAATTAAAGAAACAACTGGAGTGAACTCTTCCTTTCACCTACACATCAAAGTTAGCACTCAGTTGTACATTAATTCGTCATTAAAGATCTCCCAGAAGGAAAGGAAAAGAAGCAGAAACATATGTACATTCAAACCACCTCATGCGTCTCAGCCTATGTTTGGCCAATGTTTATAAACACTCAAGCCTCTGCACTATTATGTTGCAGTTGAACCATCTCTATATAACCTAAGCTTTTAGACAAGATGATTCCTATACATACACAACTTCCTTAAAGAGGAGTAAGGTTTTAAAGTTAGCACGTATGGAACTGTTCAAGGAAATTCCCAAATGCCAAATTAGTGCATGAGCATCAACTTCTTACCTGTTATGGCATGTTTACCTGTTAGACTCAAGGCCATATTAAAAAATCAAAAGTTAACTAATTTTTTATTGTCCTCCTGGTGCATCTAATAATTCACACCAAACACGAACTTAGTAAAAACTCAATAGGGTACACAAGAAATCAATTATGGACACCAGTCAAGTTTTTTCTCCCACCTTCCAATCTGTTTATTCATCCAAAGACTTGTACAGTACATTAACTTAGCAAGCAATAAGTTAATCATGCAAAATCCCTCAATAATAACTAATGCACTTCTTATGGTTTCCAAATTGTCGGTTCATTATGCAAACCCGCCAAATTTACAAGTTCTAGTTAAACTATATTCTGCAGTGCAACGTGTATCAATTATACACTACAGCTGACCCTTAATTCACGCTCTACTGTATAAACTGAGCAATTAGCAGAAAAGACATACCTCCATCAATCAATGAACACTTGGCCCTGTAACTTAAAGAGTCGTTGCTTTGTTCTAGTGCCTGGCTAGGACTAAAAAAGGTAAAGCTGGGCATTGAGCGTATTGGGGATGAGAATTTAGGTTCGGTAGATTCACAGTAGCTACCAAAAGAAAAGCCTCCTGAAATTGAGGCAGGAGTACCCTGGCTGATGAGTGGAGAAGAGAATGACGTCCTACATGTGAAAACGGGAGAATCTTCTTTGCCATTGACAGTTGCAGGTGATCCATCATTAAAACTATAATCCTGAGTTCTATCGATGTAAGGGGTGGAAAAGGAATATCCACCTAATTCTATCAGGGGATGATTAGGATTATCTTGTATGTAAGGTTCTTGAGTTTCATCTGTATAATCCTTCGTCCAGGAGTGAGCTGCAAACAAAATGGGCCACATTACAACAAAATATTGGAAAAAACATCTTGCAAATCTGAACAACGTTTCCAGGTTTAGCCAAATCGGAATCGGAAAAACATGAACTGTATAATGACTATAATCATGTCTGTATGCTCTTCCTTCTTACAGAAATGTTATACTTGCCAAATTCAATTGAGGTTATTTAAAGAATAACTGCTATTCTTTTCAAAAAGAAACCAACTTCAAAGACGTATTAGAGAAAAGGCATTGAGATTGAAACGAGGATAATTCAATGATAAAGCTATTTTGGAATCAATGCTCAATTGATTTAGCAACTTCTGGATGCTGTGTTCAACTTTTTATTAACCCAATTATTACCACATATTAAGCTCCTTACAGAAAATTTTGGAACTCATACAACCCATGTTCACAATAATGAACTCGATAATGTTCAACATACCAAGAACTTGTTCAGCAGTTACCCTTTTTGAAGGATCAACACTCAACATTACAGAGATCAAGTCCTTGGCAGACGCTGAAATGTGATCCCAAGGATCAGAAGGGAAATGCAGATCTGCAGCCCGAACAGCATCAAAGATTTTTGATTTGGTTTTCCCCCAAAAGGGAGGCATTCCACTAAGTAGAATGTAAAGAATAACTCCAGCACTCCAAACATCGGCTGCCTGGTTATAATCTCCAGCCAATACCTCAGGAGCTATATAAAATGGACTCCCTACAGTACCGTGCAATGCCTGTCCTGTAGATATAAAGCTTCTCAATAAAGGATTTTAAATTTATCCTGAGAGCTTAAATTACGGTTTACAAACCAAATGTTCTTTCGTACAATACAATTGGTGAGTTGAATCCTCCCTTCTAATTGCAAGGGAATTATGCATGTTCTATTAGGGGGTTAAAGACGCTGGCGGTTACGGAACTTTTTGCGATATTTTTTATTGTTGGTCACTAAACTTAAATTTTCTCCAAGTTGATGAAGAAACTTAAACTTTGTTTCAAGTTGGTCACTGAATTTAAACACCTTTTTTTTATATATATAATTTGATTTGATTTACCGAAAACGTGGCTGTCTTGTTGACAAATAACTAGAATTTCATGTCACCTTATCCGTTACTCAAATAACAGATATGGACGAAGGGATCAACTTGAAATAGAGTCTAAATGTAGTGATCAAATAGGACCTACCCCAAGTATAGAGACCATTAGACCAACATGAAAGTTCATTGACAACCAGCTTATATAACTTGCTAATGGAGATAAACTTGCTGAATCTACCAGAATTTAAAATTGAAAATAAGAAATGATAAAAGAAAATTAACATGCTTACCAGATTTGATGTATGTTGCAAGACCAAAATCTGCCAATTTGATAGGAGAGGTGGAAGACTTTGAGACTAAGAGGATATTTTCTGGTTTTAAATCTCTGTGAATAATACCTTTATCATGACAATACATGACCACTTCCATTAATTGGCTAAAAATAACCCTTGCTTTGTGCTCGGAAAATTTGCCTAGCTTCTCAATTTGATGGAAAAGCTCTCCACCAGCACAAAGCTCCATCAGAAGGTGCACATAATCCTCCTCCTCGTACACTGCCTTTAGATCCACAACATTTTCGTGCCCTGATAACCTAGTCATGATTTCTATCTCAAGCTTCACACTGCCAACATCATCTTGCGTGACCAATCTCTCTTTTGAAATAGATTTGCAGGCCAAAACTTCACCTGTCGACTTATCCGTGCAAGCCCTTATTATGCCAAATTTCCCCCATCCCAGTTGATCTCCAAGAACATACCGGTCCTTAAGATTCGCTATTTCATTCGAATTCAGAATTGTTTCATTTAAGCTGGAGTCTTTGTAACAGTTGCAGGGTTGTGTCAGAGTCCCCCCATTATTATCATCACTGATCGAATCCATAACACACCACATATACTCCAATCAGAATTACGGTTCAAAACTTCACTTGCATTACATTAAAATCTCAAACTCCCAAGATTCTTAATGTTCCCAAAAACAGATGAATCTAAATTCAGATGCCGCCATTCAACAGGCTTCTAAAGACACATTCATCAAACAACCCTCCAACCTCAGAAAGTATAATCAGCTTTCATATAAAACAGTCGAACTCCAGTGAACAGTTCTTCGACACAGAAATCCCCAAAATTCTCAAACTTCGAAAAGATTCAGTCTTTCTCTAATTTTCTCACCCCTCCATACACCTGAGCCAAATTAAAAAGAAAATAGTCTCAATTTTCATTCCGTCTAGATTTTTGGTGTTCAATAAAGACATGAAATGCTGCCATTTCGTTTTTTCCCAAAGGGTTGGAGGAAAAGATCAAAACTTCGAAGAAATTGAGAACAGCCCATTCTTCGAAATAAACTGATAGATCAAGATAAGAGCTAAGTGCACAAAAAAACAAGGCAGCACAAAACAAAGTTCAAACTCAGCATTAAAAGACAAGGATATTCAAATTTCATAAAAGTTTAAAAAGTAATTCTTAATTCTATACAAAACAAATCATTTTCCAAAGAAGAATTAACCCCTAGAAGATAACAAAAACTAAAATTCAATCACAAACAAAATAGCCCAAAAAGTCCACATCAAACAATTTTCTTACGAAGAAACGCATAACTTCGACAAAAAATCAGCCCACGTTTTCCAACTACACACATACCAAGATAGATACATTATACATACATATACGTACATGTAAATAGGTAGAGAGAGAGAGAGAGAGAGAGAGACGGCGGAGGAAATCCGTTATAGCAAAGCTGCAAAGGTATTCAAAGTCTCGAGCAGTCACCCAATTTTATGAGGCATTTCAAAAACTTTTATTTTCTGTAGAAACGGGGAACGGGTTAAAGCCTGTTTTTTAATATTATTTTCTGCTCTTAAAGCTCAAAATGAATTCATTTCCCCTCGACAACTGACATGAGTTACCAGTTACGTAAAGGGTTTATATCTGAAAACAAAGCTTCCTCTATCCCACAAACAAATACACCTGGCTAGACTTTCGGAATAAGGAAAAGTTACTTTTAATTAATTTTTATTTTATTTTCAAAATATGCTTTATTTTATTTTTTCAAATATACTTGCTCCTGTCAAATTCAAATTACTTCTCTTAAGTAACTCTCATTTTACTAGTAATTATTAAAACTTATAAGTCGTATTGAATATTAATTATGTCGACTACTTATACTGTTGGAGAGAGAGAACGTATATTCGCTTATGTATTTAAATCTTATTTTCAACACTAACTCACGTGTCCCCAACATTTAACTTTACAAATGAGTAGCAGTTATAAATGGACGATTAAAATTAATGTTTGACTTTGACTAAATTTATAAATTAGTTGCCAACCGGAGGCTCATAAATACTCCCCGAAGACACTCTTTGTCTTGAACAGCGATCTGTTCGATTTGTCTAATTCTAGGGTTTTCTACCACATATCTTCTAGATACTTCCAATGTTCTACAAAATGAGGATAGACATGAAAGTGGTGGTGTAGTTTTATCCTTATGATTGATTGCAACCGAAAATCTGCTTTTTAGCGTTTGGAGGACGTGCCCAAATGAAACATTGTGTTGCCACGTGTTGCATTGTGAGTGGGGGTTGAAGTGTATTTGTTTATACCTTCGTGGGAATTAATTTGTAGGCAAACACCAGCTGTATTTCATGTTCCACTTAGCTGTACAGTTTTACATGCAATTAATTCCAACTTTGGAATAATAAATTCCAAGTTGAATCCTTACGTCAAAAACCACGATCTTGTTACATGTACATCGAATTTAACATCAAATTTGATATCGTTGTGAAGTGACAACTTTTTATACATTAAATTTAGAATCATGCTTGATGTACACTCTTTGATGTACATCATGCACGACATTCCTTTCAAAAAGGTGAGGGTCCGCAATTTAAAAAATCATGGGCCTCACACTCATTTGTGAGATGAGTGTCAAAGTTAATGTACACAAAAGTGTACAAATGGATTTTCCCTTACTTTTAATAACACTTTAAGAGCCTATTTGGTACAGATTCTCATTTTTTACAGTAAATCAATTCTCATTTTCAATCACGCATTCTTCAATAAAATAATATTTTCCATCACATCAATACTTTTTCTTCTTTTTCAACCACACATTTCCCATCATATCACTATTCAAAAATCAATTCTTCCCCCAAAAATCCCTACCAAACACACTCTATATTTGGACTAGTTGGAAAAGCAACAACCATANCGTTTGACTTTATTATACATGAAAAATGTCCATTAAAGTGATTTTTTTTCCACAATTGGTTATAAAATTTATTTCCATTGCTAAAAAGTTTTTAAAAAATGAAAAAAAAAATTGTTTCCTAAAAAATCATTTTTTTAATAAAAATTTAATATTCGTTTGACTTTATTTTACATAGAAATTGTCAATTAAAGTGAATTTTTTTTTTTTTTACAATTGGTTATAACATTTATTCCCTTTGAAAGAAAAAAATTGAACAGATGTCTGGAAAATCATTTTCCCACCATATTTAAAACTAAGGCATTTAGGCGAAGTCTAGCTAAGTGGAAAACAAATGAGTGGAAAAATGTAGTTCATCAAACAAGACAAAACTAAGGAAAATGAATTTGTTTTCCAAGTTCCAAGGAAAATTTGGCCAATCAAAATGGCCTAAACAACTAATGATACAACTTTTGATACATCACACAATGTCAATCTTAATGTACACTTTGAATGTATTTCACATTATTTTGCTGTCACTAATACTCTGGTTCCAAATGAAGACGGAACACGGATAAATCACTTTAAATTTCCATGGAAATTTGCATCGTTTTGAAAACCCCTTTTTAAGTCTCGTCTAAAAAGTATCGATAAGGATATTTAAAATGAAAAAATAAGAATAAATAAGAAAATAAAAATCAATAATATTCATTTTAAAAGCATTAATAAGCACGATTTAACGTTGTATTAAACATTCCTCATTCAAAAATCATAATTATTATCAGTATCGTACAAAGTTTTCCTCTCGTGATACATTTAAAAAAGTTATCAACTCAATGGTGCATTCTGCCAGAGGAACTTCACATCCCCATAAAGAAGGCAATGCACCTTCAAACGAAGTAAATTGTTTTGGTGTTGATTTTTGGAGATACAAAGGTGAAAACCTTTTTAAAGAACTAGTGGGGTGATCGTGCGTTGCAAGTTTACTTGTTAAGATTAAAAATAAGTACATGTAAATTTTGGAAAAAATTATTTTGTAAATGTGAGATACACATAAGTTGGTTAAAAGAAAAAAAAGTTATTTATTAAGAGTAAGAGATTGAAGTAAGAACTAAAAGAAATCAACGAACAAATAATTGATTTCCACATAATAAGAAGCAATATATTAAACTCAATAAGAAACACAGCTAATACTAAGTTTATTGTTTTTTACCTGCTTGACATCCTCTTTGAATTTCTCCTTTCCAACCTTCGTAAATGGCTTTGGCACGAAGCATGCGGTTAGACTTGTCGATGGCAATCAACAGGATAGCTTTTAAGAATAATTGATTTCCACATCATAGTATTTCTAAAAGTGTTTCTATAAATAAAATTGAACAGACTCATTATAATGGTGAACTAGAGGTGAATCGGAAACTGAAGTTAAAGCACTTTGGACACCCTCTTGTACCATTTATTTGGAATTCTGAAATTTATATAACAGAAGCAGTTTATTGGAGAAACGTGGTTGTGTGTTCTAACACAGGCATAAACTTCCATATACATTTGTACGAGTATGTTTTATTTTCTTCCAATTGTACCTATAAAAGTAGAAGCAACTTGCTCCTATAGAAGTAGAAGTAACTTGTGTACTATCCCATAAGTAAGATGTCAAAGTTTTTGGGGTATAATTTTCACTGAAACTAAGCATGACTGAGGCTGCATGTGATTGCAAAACAGCAACAACTCAAAAACAATCCAAATAAACCACATCTATGTCATTGTCACATCAACAACAACTCCAATTTTATTATAAGATTTTCATATCGATGAAAACAAACTTCCAAATTACATAGGACAATTACTTCTATTTCTTTGGACAAAATGTGGTGCATACTTAACCTATAGTATGGTCTATAGTAAAAAACTTACCTAAACATGAATAATCAAGACAGCTTCCAGCATGTACATCAAAAATAAATCCCTAATAGAATATGATGATTAACCAATCCCAACATGTACAACAATAAATGCGAAGTACACTTTCCATACACAGTTAAGAACATGATTGGATTATACAGTGAAGAACATTTTAACTTATTTTCCTTCATTTATAGTGTTTTGATAAAATCAAGGAAGGAAGGAGATTCAAGCTGGAAATAATGGATGAAATTAACAGAGGATAATGCAGGAAGGAAAGTTGTAGAAAAAGGAACTGAAAATAAAAAAGGGATAGGCCTGCTGTGATGCAGGGAAGATGAAGAAAAATTCATTCATTCACGCTTAAGGAAATTACAATGCAATCTATTTTATTTATAGAGAAAATAGGTAACAAACTAACAAGATAACAAACTAAGGAAGTATTTAGAATAAACTAGAATCAGTTGAATTCAGGCGGGAATTATAGTTGAAGGCAGCAGCATTTTATCTCCAGATTCTGCTGTGTTGCTGTTGTGGTTTACTGAAGAACGTGGGTTGCTGATCTCGCCGTTGAAGTTGCTGGCTGCTGGTGATCAGATGAGCCGATCAACTGGAAGCTGAGTTAATATTCCAACAATCCCCCCTTAAGATGGAACATCTTGAACCATAGAAAAGGAAAGTAGAGATGCAATCAAAGAGCATCTTGTTTCGAATCAATTTCAGACACTTCGTCTGTCTTGGATCATGCTTTATCTTCCTTCTCTTTTAAGAAAGAATATCTTCAAAACCTTTCTTCAAAATCTTCATATCTC